GGAGGAGGAGGAGGGGCCCGGGAGGGGTGGGGGGGAGGGGGTCGAAGGTACTTGATGATTGTAATAATGTGTGGGTTGAACTTGATCTCGCAGAGCTCTCCGTAGTGATCGCACTGTCTCTGCCTAGTCGCCAACTTGGCCCGTGAGTGCCAGCCCGCGCAGGCAGCCGCCGGCCTGAGTCACAACTGACGGGCGTCGGCCGGCCCGGGCCGCCGTGAAGTCCCCGGTACTACGGTACGGTCAGTGACTACCAAGTCAAAGTCAGTTAAAGTAGAGTGATAGGGCCCGCCTCGCTTGTCAGGGGCCAGCCTCAAATGCAACTGATATTGTAACGGAAGGCGCCTCTTCGCATTCCTGCCACCATGATCTCCATGGTAAGACAAAGCATGGATGATGCTGATGATGATGATGATGATGATGCTGATGCTGATGATGATGGTGATGATGATGATGATGATGATGATGATGATGATGATGATGATGATGATGATGATGATGATGATGATGATGATGCTGATGATGATGATGATGCTGATGATGCTGATGATGCTGATGATGATGATGATGATGATGATGATGATGATGATGATGATGATGATGATGAGGAGGATGATGCTGATGATGCTGATGATGATGATGATGATGATGATGATGATGATGGAGATGATGATGATGATGATGAGGAGGAGGAGGATGAGGATGATGATGATGATGCTGTGAACGAAGAATATTGCAAAGGATAAGAGGAGAACGAGGAGGATGAATCAAAGGAGTAAGAGAGACAGGGTGGGAGATATGGTGAATGGAAGGATTTAGAGGAACAGTACGAGTAAGAAGCAGTGGCAGTAGATAATCCATAAGTGATAGGGGAGAAGACTTGTGCAAGAGATGAGAGAGGTAGGAGAAGGTGAGAGAAATCATCTCCCGTCATGAGAGGACAAGAATGAGAATGTAGAAGATGAAAAGAAGTCAAAAAAATTTGTTGAGCCATCAGGGCAGTTCCAAAGAAGTTTCCTGGAAAAGCTAATGGGATGAAGATGGAAGCAGTCTTCCAGCAAGGAGACGCGGGGCAAACTTGTTAGGAGCGAAGGAAGGCATCGTGAGTGCGTGAGCACAGGAAACAGATGGGAGTGTAGATGGATTTGAAACATGGTTCGATGGATCAGATTCGAAGTATCATAGAGCTTTTGTTTTTCATCTAGCCCTTGTCGGCAAGTAGCTGTCTTAACACGATACTTTGTATCTATCTGTGAGATGATAGTTATGGTTATGACGACGATGACGACATGCTTACAACTATGATACGATGATGATGATGACTGCACTGATGATGATGGTAACGAACCGAAACTGTGAACGGGGGGAAGGAGATGAGGATATTCATGACATGCAGCGTCTGACTTGTGTCTCTAGTTGTATCC